AACCTCCTTCCACAGAAGCAAGCCTTTACTGCGACACAAGTGAAGAACAACAAAAAGCAGTACATAGATACAGCTGTGATAAATAAATACATTGTCATCAGACCTTTAGCACTTTTCGTGTGTTCATGTGCTGACTTAATCTTCTTAGGTTCAATGCTATATCCACTATGAGCATTTCTGGTCTGACTGTTTTAGTTCCTTTAAATTGTTACTCAAAAATCCTCTGCTGGCCTTGTTTTCTTTTTTACGTTTTAGAGAATATACAAAGGATCATGGCTGAAACCAGTGCTTAATTTGTCCTCCAGGAGGTGCCGAGTCCCCCTCTGGGACGCACACGCCGTAAAAATATGCTTTTTTTCTTGGGTTTTTAACGTGTTTTTATTGTCCTTTTCACCTTAATTTCCGCACCTACCTAGTATAACATTTGCAGCAACATTTGGCACACCATGTTGTTTACCTATTTGCGCGCAGTGCCGGTGCAGAAACAAAAAATAAATCATTTTTTCCCCTCTGTTTTACCTAATTTCTTACCAGACGCCCTACCAGAGGGAAAAATTGAATAATTTGTGTCATGAAGGAACTCTTTCAGGGGCTAAAATGTTACACATTGACTTCTCAGTTAGCCTTTGTGGATAGAAAGCAACTATATGCTCCCTTCCAACAAATAAAAATGTGTTAATATGCCGAATTGAAAACTTAACCTTGTTTAGTTTAACTGTGATGTAGGGTGTTAGAGTTTGGTTTAAAACTGTCTGTAGTGATTAATTCATTCAGTACTATAATGCAAATTAAATGATACAAATTTTAAATGAGCATGAAAAAAGGAGCTGGACAAACATTACAAGAATCTAAACTTCATGTACAAATTTCTTTTTTTAATAAGCCATTAATAATTTTGTGGTTCCTTTTCATTTTCCACAATTTGTTGCAAAAATATCCACCACAATGAAGTAATTATTTTATTAGTTGCTCAAAATTTGTTCAGGAGGATCGCCAAATATTTAAGGGGATGCCTTATGTATTTATTTTGCCCCTGCCCCGGGAACAGCCTGACAACGCCACTGCACACTAGTACTAAAGATGAACAGATGCAGTATCAAATATTTTTACGGGCCTTCCAGAGGACCAGCTCTTAGATGGTCTAACCTTCCTCCCCTTGAAAAGTTACTCCTCGTCACAAGTAAGTGACAAAAGTCTCTACAGCATGGTGAAACAGGGTCTAAACAGGTTTCTTTTCAGAAAGGAAGGACAAACTATACTTAAGAGACACAATGTGCAAGGACACTCTGTTATGTTGCACTCAGGGCTCTGCAGGCTGCATAAAGCAGTAGAGGGCCTGCATGAATTCTTATAAATTCCTTACAAATAAAGTAAAATCAGGTCAGTTCTTATCAACATCCAATCCAGAGACAAATAACCACATGGGACCTTGGATAGTACGATTCAAGACCGTATGATAAGCTTTTATTTCATATTTTTGCAGAAATCCAGATCTCTTTTGAGTTTTATTTTTTGTTTTCAAAGTTACATTTGTATGAGGCATCATACCTACCTCTGTTTGTCCTTGGGTTTTAAAAAAAGGCCTTCCTCAATATCAGTTTTCAAACAAAATTATGACCAAAAAAAAAAAAAATTGCTGTCATCATATTCATTAACACGAATGTCATCATCATCATCATTTCATCATCACTGAGATCATCATCAACAACATCATCATCATTACAGTAGCACTGAGATCATCATCATCATTATCAATATCATTATCATTTTTCTTGAAGACTCCAAAAACAGGCAACTGGACTGTGTAGAGTTGAGAAGATGTTTCTTGCAGAGTTGAGAAGACGTGTGTGTTGGCCTTCTTGGACTGTGCTGTACACTTGGAGGCAGATGAGTGTCTCAACGTTGAAGTGTAGAGGAAACCAACACACACGGATCAATATTTACCTTTTTATTCCCACCATCCTCTGCAGCACAAATTGGGTGTTATCAGAACACTCAGCCACCGGGCTGAGAACATTTCCATGAAGAAGGTAAGGAAAAGGAACAGAAGCACATCAAAAATGCCCTGACAACCTGTGGATACCCTAAGTGGGCCTTTGTGAAGAACAGAAAGAGAAATAACACTGAACACGAAAGGGAGGAGAAACGCAAGAGCACTGTTATCCCTTATGTTGCAGGCCTGTCGGAAAAACTTAAAAGGATCTTTGGCAAACACCATATTCCTGCTCATTTCAAGCCTGGTAACACACTAAGGCAGAAGCTAGTCCATCCCAAGGACAAAACACTGAGACATAAACAGAATAATGTGGTGTATGCTGTCCAGTGCAGCGAGGAATGCTCGGATCTGTACATTGGGGAAACTAAACAACCGCTTCACAAGCGCATGGCTCAACACAGGAGAGCCACTTCCTCAAGTCAGGACTCAGCTGTCCACCTTCACTTAAAGGACACGGGTCACTCTTTTGAGGACAGCAATGTACATGTGTTGGCTAGAGAAGACAGATGGTTTGAAAGAGGAGTTTAAGAAGCCATCTTTACCAGACTAGAGAAACCTTCTCTGAACAGAAGGGGTGGACTCAGGCACAATCTCTTCGGCACTTACAATGCAGTTCTCAGCTCTCTCCCCAGGAAGCTCCACAAACATTCACACCTGGGACTAAATGACGCAGGTGGCATGAGTCATGTGGTCACATGACAGGGGTCGTTAATGACCCTTCAGGTTAACGACCCTTGGGGGGGAACACCCGGAGATGGGTTTCTACGACCCATTCTTTCCAACTCCTCCCAGTCATTGTTTTTCCCCTTCTCTAGTGAGATAAATATCTGCTCCTCACACCAGCATTAATTAGAACTGATGAAGCCTCTTGGATAAGAGGCGAAACGTCTTCTCAACTCTACACAGTCCAGTTGCCTGTTTTTGTAGTATTCAAGAAAACCATGACCTGGATGAATGAGAATCTCCATGGACATCATTATCCTGTCATCATCATCATTATCATCATCATAATTTCAGCAGCACTGAGATCATCATCATTATCATTATCATCTTAGAGAAGAGAAAAAGCTTGCTCTGGGGGGGGGGGGGGGGGGCACAACCTAAGAATGCTAGCTGCGGAGGGTATTCACTGCCCCGCCACCGGGAGATGTTCTGGGCTAAGGGGCGAAACATCCAAGAACGGTGGCCCCCAGCTGATGACCCTGCAGCTAGCAAACAAGGCACCGTTGGAGGTGCTGCATGCCAATGGCAAAGCAGGAGAACACCTACCTGTATAAAGAAATGGACTTCTGGAGACAGTGACTACTGTGAATAGGGAAGTTGGCGTCCAGGGAAGATTGGAGGACAACCAGGAAAGACTGGTGGTGGCAGGAAAGACTGCACAGGGAGAAGGGGGTTGGTAACCCTACCTTCTAGTTTCCCGAACGGGAAGACACCCAAACCAACCACGAAAACGAGAAAGAAGAAACAGCCCGAAGGCCCTCCGAGAGGCAGGATGGAAGAAGGGCCTGCCAGGATGGTTCACATGGTTACAGACACTAGCAAGATGACAAAAGAGACCAAGCTCATTAGGAAGTGAGGGTGCGGATGGGAAAGAGTAACAACACTTAGGGGCTTGCATATCCATATGGGGAAGAAGAAGTGTAGAGGAGAGAGCCTCAAGTGACATTGCACTGCTCAGGCAGGTCAGACAAGTGGGATCCAAGGCCAGGTTGAAAACCACAGCGCTGTCGGGCCCAGGGTCGTAGAGGAAGAGCTTGGCGAGAGGAGGCAGGAGGAAGAGAGGGAATGCAGTGACCCCCAAGAAACTATCCCAGCAGCACCCCCAAGCAACCCAGGAACAAGGCCATCCCCACAGGCCAGAAGCCTGAAAACCCCAGTGCAGAGGAACAGAATCAAATAGCCAAAGTCCAAAGAGACAGAGGAGTGGAGAAGGCTAGATGAACATCTGAGCGGGCTGCTCTAAAATGCTTTGCACGGATCAGTGGAGTCAAGGCTGAACCAGTTTGGCGAGATTCTGTACGTGGAATGAAGCAGCCGACTTGGCGAAGTTGTCAGCCTGACAGCTGAAATAAGGGCCAAGGGAAGGAGGGAGAAGGAAATTGAGGACCTGGTGGCAGAAAGAAGGCGTCTCCGAAAGCTTTGGAGGAAAGCAGAAGAGGCGGAGAAAGAGGGTCTAAAAGCCCTTTGGGGAGACATCAGAAGAAGGCTGGCTGCTCTACGTAGGGCCGACCGCATCCGGCAATGGAGGAAAAGAAAGGAGAATAAGAGGGCGAACTTCTTTAAAAATCCTTTCCGGCATGCACGAAGTCTTCTGGAGGAGAAAACCAGTGGAGTGTTAGAGATCTCCAAGGATGACCTAGAGAAACACATCCAAGCCCAGTATAGCGACCCAGCCAGGAGTGAACAACTGGGCCCGCCAGACTACATACCCAAGCCAGCTGAACCAACTACAGAGTTTGACGTTACGCCCCCCAAACTCAGCGAGATAAGGCAAGTTGTCCACAAGGCAAGGTCATCATCAGCACCAGGGCCAAATGGAGTACCACACAAGCTGTACAAGAACTGCCCAAAAGCACTGAAACTCCTGTGGACACTCATGAAAACTGCCTGGGCTAAACAGTCCATCCCCGCTGAGTGGCAGAGGGTGGTAGCAGTCCCAATCCCCAAAGAGTGAAACTCAGAAACTCTCGACCAGTTCAGAAGTATAGCCTTGCTGAATGTTGAGGGGAAGATCTTCTTTTCAGTAATGGCGAGAAGAATGACCGCATACCTCATGGCCAGTGGATATATAGATACCAAATGTCGGAAGGCAGGGAATCCCGGCTTCCCAGGGTGTGTGGAGCACGCCTCAATGATTTGGGATCAAATCCAGACAACAAAGAGGGAGAAAAAGGACTTGCATGTAGTGTGGCTAGACCTAGCAAATGCATACAGCTCGGTGCCCCACCAACTCATTGCATTCGCATTGGACTTCTTTTATATCCCTAGCAACATCAAGGCCATGATAGCAAGCTACTTTCAGGACATGCACATGTGCTTCAGGCTGCAAAACTTCACCACCAAGTGGCAGCAGCAGGAAGTAGGCATTGCCATGGGGTGTTCCATCTCCCCCATCCTCTTTGTGGCTGCTTTTGAGGTCATTCTAACAGGAGCAAGGCAGGTGGTGGGGGGGGTCCGACTGCTGCAGGGCCGACGACTTCCCCCATTGCGGAGTTACATGGATGACGTCACATGCCTGCTACAAACAGCTCCACGCATGTCGAGACTGCTCAGGAGATTGGATGAACTAATCGGCTGGGCCAGGATGAAGTTCAAACCGGGCAAGTCTAGGAGCCTCTTGATGTGCAAGGGAGAGTATAATGACAGGGCCTTGTTCACCATAGGAGGATAAACCATTGGGAGGACCATTCTGCAGCAGCTATCAGCAGGCTTGAAGAAGATCGATGCCAGCCAGTCGCCCGGAAAGTACAAGGTGTGGTGTTACAACTTCACCTTGTACCCAAGAGTAATGTGGCCGCTGAAGCTCTGCAAAGTCACCTCCTCAACTGTGACTCGGATGGAGGCAAAAGCCCATGCCTTCCTCCGTAACGCGCTCCAACTACCATTAAAATCCATCACCCTTGGGTACAGGCAGGAGAAGGCCAGACTAGTCATGGAGCTGAGGGAGTCTCAACCAAGGTGCAGAGTGGAGGCTGGCTGTGGACGTGGGCCGACAACTGCAATTTCCCCATGAGATCTGCAGCACCACCCTGCGGCCTGACATGGTTCTGTGGACCACAGCGGAGAGGAAGGCACTGTTAGTCGAGCTAACGGTGCCATGGGAAGAGGGGTTGGCGGCTGCCCATGAGAGGAAGAGGGCAAAGTACTCAGACCTACTGGCAGAGTGCAGGGAGGCCGGGTGGAGTACGAGGTTATACCCTGTGGAGGTAGGGGCAAGAGGCTTTGTGGCAGACTCAACAATCCGACTGCAGAGAGCGATTAGGGGGCTATCTGAGGAGGCAGAGAAGGCAAGCTTTTTGCTCTGGCTGAGACAGCGGCATGTAGCGTGGGGAGCAGGCACAACCTAAGAATGCTAGCTGCAGGGGGTGACAGGGAGACGTCCCTGTTCACTGCCCCGCCACCGGGAGATGTTCTGGGCTAAGGGGCGAAACATCCAAGAACGGTGGCCCCTAGCTGATGACCCTGCAGCTAGCAAACAAGGCAGTGTTGGAGGTGCTGCATGCCAATGGCAAAGCAGGAGAACATCTACCTGTATAAAGAAAAGAGTGAAAAACTAAATAAATATATAAAAAACAATGCCAGAAGTTTTTTTTATAATTCTCGAAAATGTTCTCTGACGAAACTCACAACCTACTCTGAAGTTTGACATACTTTTTTTTTAAGTGATACACATTAGGGGGCTTTGTCCACAAAGATGTTTTTTTGCACCAACATCACTCATAACCAAATTTTCTGAACGTGTTACTTGGAAACCTCTGCTTCCTTTAGTACTGTTAGATGTGTTTGACAATGCTCTGTTTGCTTAACATTTGCTTTCATTTAAATTACGCATACAACAGTGGCGATTGCTCTTAGACTGCAAGGGAAGCTCAGCTTCCCTTAAAATGTCACCCCCCCAAAAAAAGAAAAAGTGGTGAAATACGTACTGCTGTGTGTACATTTCATTAACTAAATACGCACTAGAAAGCCTTCATCTTTTGTTCAGACACTGTGATAAGAAGCTGATAATCACAGGTAACCAGCACAACTTTGTTCTCATTCATCCTCGCAGCGCCTCAGTGCTTCACACAGCCGGACGCTCAGCGTCTGCTGACTTCAATGTGGAAGCTCAAATTGGGTTGTTCCAGCAGCGAAACTAGATGCTCATTGGATAAATGCTGGGCTCTGTCCCGCCCATCGGACGCTCAGCGTCTCTGGAGTTCTATGACGAGAGGGCGGTCCAAACTTTCTCGCGGACTCTGAGCTTCTGTATCCATGATTTGATGAGCTGTCTGAGGCGAAAACCTTTTTTGATTGACAGCTAAACAAGCGAATCAGCGATCTTGAAGAATAAAACATCTACCAGAGCATTTTCCAAGTTATTCATTCCGTTGTTCTTAACTGCTCCGGAGACTTTACCGATCCTCAGCAACTTTTGTCTTTGTTAAAAACGACTGCCGTTGTGTTTGGCGACTCTGTTCTGATACATACAAATAAACAAACACAATCAGTGCATCAAAGGCTGTCCCAGTTCAGAGGCTTTTCCAATCCCAGTTGACAAACATGTCCTACTTCAAACCGGGACACAGTTTATCTCTACCCTAAAGACCTTTGCCGTTATTGTTGACTTTCAGCACTTTCAGCCTGCCTCACATCACAAATCAATGTAGTGTGTACTTACTTGTATGTCCTCAGTGCTGTTTTGGCACTTTGAAAGTACAGAAGTTAGATAAGCACCAGATTGACCCAAACCCATTAAAAAGGAAGCTACAGACCTCGACTAAAAGGCCTCCACAGAAGATCCATAGAAGAAGACAAATGTTTGTCCGTTGCTTATTCATTGACATTTAGTCACTACTCAAGTATTGAATATTTTACAGATGTGTAATTAGGTATGAATGTATCAGACATATTTCCATTATGTTACACCTGGCCTGTAGAGAAATCAGAGCACAGAACACAAATTGAGCCTCTCCTAAGTCACTCCATAAGAAAACCAAACAAAGAAGCATCTGCAGTCCAAAATGTTTGATTCATTTGAACACAAATATATTTGAAACAAAGACTTCAGGTAATGTAAATGTTTAAGACAAACACCAACGATAGGAGGCAACGATATATGATATCGTTGATATATGATATGATAACACAGGCTGTCACTGTCAACACCCCATCAAACCACACAGATGCACTGAAAATGAAGGTCAGGCGGAAGAGTTTCCCCCATCCAACACTTCAAAACATGCACCATCAACTCCTATTCGCTCACCAGCAGACAGCTACAACACAGAAAACAACAGCTCTTCAGGCATGAATTTAAGGAGAAGAAGCATAATCTTCCTGATACAGAACTGCACCCTCCTCATTAGTGCGGGGATCCACCTTCATTTTAAAGAGACATGCAAAACTTGGTGTGGCCCGAGCATGTTTGCTCCAGAAAAGCATTAAATGACTCCTGCCTCCAAGGAGTACACCAAAAATCATAGTAAAGCTGTATTAACCCACAAACCTGGGAAGTTGCCCACTGGTTTCTGATGCTGGAATATCCAGAATGGCCTCGGTCAACAGAGGGCGCACTTGCTCTTGTCTATCCTGCTTACACAGGCATGTGACAGATGCATAGACAATATATACGATGGACAAATTGGCCCAGCCTTTCGTCATTATACGAATTTAAAGCCGAATTGCTCTCTGTATTTCCAGGATTTTCTTCACTTCCTGGAACCACCACTTGTGCAGTAGTGTTGTACGCTTTTGGTGGGAGAGTCCCCAAGAGCTGCTGTGATGACGCTCGGCTCAAACAGCGTATACCCCGGGTGAGCTACGCAATCTTCGTACACCCATAGGCTGTATCAAGTGTCAATTATAGAAAACATGAACCCCCTAATAACATTTAAAAATGGAGCTGTACAGAAAAAAAGAGGACTTGAGCACAAACCAGTCTTTCAGTAACTACATGTCAACATCGCAACCAGGGGGGAGAAAAATTTATATGCTGAGTAATAAATTCATAGAGTTGGTCCACAGCTCCATAAGAATTGCTGTAGGAGGCAGGATTTATGACCTCTACTGCAGCCCGTCAGGGTGAGGGTGCTTTTCTTGCGATTGCTTCACCCAGCAAGGAGGCAGACCGAGTCCATTTTATATTAAGTCCATGGACAGATGCCTTAGACCTGAGTCAAATTCAGAGTCAAATGCGGACTCTCTAAATGGCCAAAATGTCTCTCTTTGGAACTTTCCTTCAGAGCAGCTACCTCTGGTCTGAAGAAATGAAGTCTTTGTGGAAGTGCCAAAAACTGGAGTCCCCTCACAGTCCACTCGAGGCTGGCTGTAGAGGCATTGGAAACCACATACATGCTAAGCCACAACCCCCATTTTAGAGCACAGTTACCTGTAAACATGTTCACAGCAGTTTTGTTCTAAATAGCTTTGGGCTCCTTCAGTACCCACTGCACTGGGATTATTTGTGATTATTTGGAAGATATTTAGGTTTAGAGATTAACATGGGTGACCAGACTGACAGGTGGGGAGACTTTTTTTTGTTTGCAAGACGGCTAAAGGCCCAGGCAGGTCAACTGGAGGTGAGATGGAGTCAGCACTGCTAATGTGGTGACTGCAGCAAATAAACCCTCAACTCTGTTTATTATACAGCCTATGGTTCCCACTTTTCCTATAAGCTTTATTGGTGGTCTCCTGTCCTGGCCAACAAGCCAACTTTCTCCACTCTGGTTGTTGGTTTGTAAATGAGTTTATTTTGATGGTTAATCTTCAGAACAGTCGAAATGTTAAAAGTAAACTCAGTTTTCAACTGTGTGTATTTCTCAGCTGGTAATGCTTCATTAACTAACAAGTGGGAGGGAGAGAAGTGAAGCAGCAATCTGCCAAAAAAGACTTTAATCACAATCACAGAGCGTCAGAGACAGAGAGATGTGGGATGTAAAAGGGTGTCAGCTGACACATTGTTAGCACATCACATCACAAACACATCTGCTTCCTCTGCAGATCTATATAAAGGAGATGTGTGGGAACCCATCACCCCAATCACGTGGTGTCTGTGTTTTTGAAGCTAACAGTGATTTCCTGAAAAATGTTGGTCTTCAACCCAAACTGAAGTCATTATTTTCTTACCCAGTTGATGAGTGAAGGAGGAGGAAACAAAAAGTCAGTGCAGACAGGATTTCATTTCCATCCTGTAATGGAGGAGACAGCCTGAGAAAATTAAAGAGGCTGGCTTCATCGTGGAAGGCAAACCATCAGCGTGAATAACACAGTGTAAACAATGTTTCATGTAGCTGAGTGATAAATAATTTCCCTCCTCCCAATTCACAGGGCTGCAACGTCGGCTTTGATCTGAACTGAGAGCACGGCTGTTTGTGAGAATATAGAGGCAGTGTAGCTGTTCCAGGGCCGAGAAGAGTCTTCAGGATTCCATCAAATACTGTGGGCTGCTGGCTAAACACCCGATGGACACAGGAAACACCACATTTAGTTCTTATAATGAAATAAAAAAAATCATTGATGTATCGAGCCAAACACCCAAGTACAGCACTAAAGAGGACTGTAAGTCAGAGGTTTCATCAACTGTTCCTGAACAACAGCTGCATCTGTCTGTATCCTGAGGGACCATGAGATGTCAGAGACAGAAACAAAGAGGACAAAGGGAAGGAAGGTGGCATCATTCTGTGCTATCAA